AGAGGGGGTGTATGATTAATGGTTGGTGGGGGTGTATGATTAATGGTTGGTGGGGGTGTATGATTAATGGTTGGTGGGGGTGTATGATTAATGGTTGGTGGGGGTGTATGATTAATGGTTGGTGGGGGTGTATGATTAATGGTTGGTGGGGGTGTATGATTAATGGTTGGTGGGGTGTATGATTAATGGTTGGTGTGTGCGGGGACGATTAATGGACGTTTGATTGATCAATGGTGCGGTGGCGGACAGTGCGCGCCGGCTTGCGGTGGCCACAACAGAACGACGACTTTGGGTTGTCAGGACACTCTTCTCTCTCATCAGCCAGGGTCCATCCAGCCCAACACCACAATGGCCGAGTCGTATGTACGGCGGGCCGAGGCTGCGCTCGTGGATGCCTGTGAGACCCAGCTGCAGGCTGTCCGCGCCCTGGGCAAGGAGAACATGGAGTGGCTGGCCGAGATTGCTCAGGTCGCCACCGCGTCATACATGAGGTACGTCCACTATCTCACCCCCATACCCACCCCCCATATACTTTGTTCCCACACGACATACCATACTCACTCTTGTCTCTGTGGCTGGTGCCTTTGGCTTGCCTGTGCCCGTCTTGTCCGCGCGCGCGCCGGCTTTGGCGCCACTAAATTTGAACGCATTTTGGTCGGCTGGCGGCGCGCGACAGCGGCAACATGGCCGGCCTCCCGCAGACGCCCTCGGTCCGCATCAAGCGCGAGACCATTCGTGAGAGCAGGAAGCGTAAGAAGCCCGCCATGGCCCTCAAGGCCATTTTTGAGGCCATGCCTGATGACAAGGAAAACTCGCCGGCTCCCGTCCGCGCCAACTCCAGCCGCGCCTCGTCCAACTCGGCCAGCAAGCAGCTGTCCGAAGCCGAGGCCAACGACGATGGCGACGTATCGGAGGATTCGGGCCGTGGGCGGGCCAAGCGCCGCAAGCCGCTCACACCCGAGGCTGAGGCTGAGGCTGAGGCTGAGCCAGATGCCGAGGCGGATTTGCCGGCCGTTTCCGGCGATACCGACACCTGGGCCGCTCTTGGGTTGGACTCGGTGGCGTTTGGAGATGACTCTGGCTTCTGCGGCGATCCGCTTCCCGAGTTCGAGCTTGATGGCCGCGGCGAGTCGCCTATGGCTTCGCGGAAGCGTGGCGGGCACGAATCCGAGGACGACGAGGCCGAGGCTCGGCTCGATGCCGATGTGGCGGTCAAGCGGGCGCGGGCGTCAATCGAGGGCGATGCGGTGACGCGCGCCACATCGGCAGAGGCAGCTGCCGACATCAAGGAAGTGGAGAGCAAGGTGACAGAGGCCAAGGCCGCACTTGTCAGCGCCGCGGTTGTCGTCGGGCTCGCGGCGACCGAATCGGTTTCTGCAGTCAAGGCTGCCCGCGGCAAGGTCGCGCTTCGTGAGGCGGCAAATGCAGCTGCGCCGGCAGCTGCCGCTGTTGCTCAGATCGTGCACACCCGGCGGGAGGCGAGCGAGGCCGAGGCAGCACTTCGGGTTGCCGCACAGTTTGTCGGTGGCCTCGCCTCGAAAGTCACGGCACATGTCACGACAGCCCGTGACGTCGCCGAGGCCAAGGCCGCTCTAGTGACCGGTGCAGGTGCTGCAGGCCGGGCAGCGGCCAGGCTAACCGGACTTGTCGAGAGCGCCCGCGAGGAGCTCGCGGCCTCGCGGGCCGACCAGGTCACGCTGATGTGCTTCAAGCTCCGTGCCGGCGCCCGCGCTGTCGGCGCGTCGATTGCGGCGTCGAACCAGGTTGCTGCCGATATTCGTGCTAAGAACGAAGCTGTCGCGAGCCTCGTCGGTGGTGCGCGCCTTGTAGGCGCCCTCTCGACGATGGCGTGCGAGAGTGTTCGCACACAGCGGACTGCCGCCGCCAAGTCTGCATTCGCCGCTGGCGCGCGTCACTATAGCGGCTTGATGAGTGACGTCGGCGGTGTGATTGAGGCGTCGCGGGCTGCTGCCAAGGCCAACGCGATGGATACGCTCTGCTCCGGCTCGCAGGCGCTCGGCCAGCTTTTGGGCTCTATGAGCGCGGCGCTGAGCGCAAATCGCGAAGCAGAGGCCAAGGCTGTCGCGGCTGCAGACGAGGCCAAGACCGCTCTCGCGGGCCTCGCTACTGGAGTCGGCGCGGCGATTGTTGGAGCCGGTTCCGGGCTCGGCCGTGTCCGTGCGGCCGAGGCCAAGTCTGCAGCTGCAGCGGCAAAGACTGGCGCCGAAATGGCTGCTGGCATTCGGTGCTTCGCCTCACTCTTGGCGGCATCGTCGGGAACCATTGTTGCTGTGCGTGAGGAAAAGGCCGAGAAGCTGCGGCGAAAGATGGAGGAGGCACGGCTGGCAATGGAGGCTCGAATGGAGGAGGCCCGGCTGGCGGCTGAAGCTGCGGCCGAGGCCAAGGCGGCGCTGGCGGCTGGGGCGTGGTCGGTTGCCGGTGCCATCAGCAGTGCAAGCGGTGCCATCAGCGTTGTCCGGGAGCGGCAGCAAAAGGCACGTGTCGCCGCGGTCGGTTGCCTCGTACGCGACCTCGCGCGGTCGGTTGGAGGCGTGCTCAGCAGCGGGCGGGCTACGCTCCGTATCCAGCGCGAGGACGCTGAAGACGCCGAGACCCGCCTCGCCTTGGTCTCTGCTGCGATGGGTGTCGGCGGCGTACTGGGCGCGCTCAAGGCGTCCGCGCACGAGGCACGCATGGCCAAGCTGTCGGAGATGGAGCGGGAGGCTGAAGCGGCGCGGCTTGCGGCCGAAAAGGCAGCAGCCGAGAAGGCGGCGGCGGAGCGGGCCGAGGCGGCGCGTGCCGCTGCCGAGCAGGCCGAGGCTGAGGCCAAGCTCAAGGTGGCCAAGGCCAAGCTGGCGCTCATCCGTGGTGCCCAGGCTGTCGGCTCGGGTGCGTCTGGCCTGCACCAGTGGATCGAAGACGCGCTGTGGGCTATTTCGGAGCGCGAGGCCAAGGCCGAGGCCGAGGCACGGGCTGCGGCTGCGGCTGCGGCTGCTGCGGCCGAGGTCGAGCGACTTGCGGCCGAGAAGGCCGCTGCCGAGGCTGAGGCGGAGCGCCTTGCTGCCGAGGAGGCGGAGCGCGTGGCTGCCGAGGCTGCTGCCGAGGCTGAGCGTATTGCTGAGGCTGCTGCGGCTGCTGCTGCCGAGGCAAAGGCAGCTGCTGAGGCCGAGGCTGCTGCGGCTGCTGAGGCCGAGGCAAAGGCAGCTGCTGAGGCTGAGGCTGCTGCGGCTGCTGAGGCCGAGGCAAAGGCAGCTGCTGAGGCCGAGGCTGCTGCGGCTGCTGAGGCCGAGGCTGCTGCGGCTGCTGAGGCCGAGGCCGAGACCGAAGTCTTTGAGGATGCGCATGACTCGATGCGGTCGTCGGTCGCAGACTCGATGATGTCCGAGGTGGCGGCAGAGGCCGAAGAGGCGGGCGAGGTCGATGTGCTCAATGAGAGCTCGGCCAGCTCGAGCTCTGCCATGTTTGCCACGCCGAACACGTCGATGAACTTGACAGCGTCACCCGCGACGCCGCTTGGACCCCAGCAGCGCGACACGCCGTTGTCGGAGCGTCACGCGACCTTGACCAAGATGCAGCAGGCGATGGCGGCGTGGTCCGAGGTTGCGTCGCCGGCGCCGGCAAAGGCGCTCGCGTTTTCGCCCGAGCGGCCATCAGCGGCGGCACATCCTGCACCGGTGGCGGCGCCTGCTGTTGACGCGAGCACCGAGTCTGTGGTCCGCGACGCAGCCGAGGCGATTGCCAGCGCCGACTCTGCGCTCGACATCTCTCTTAACTCGTCGACGACGTCCACGGGCTCGGGCTCGGGCTCGGGCTCGGGCGCGGGTGCGGCAGAGCGCAGCGCAGACACGTCGTCGGCGCTCGATGTCTCATTCTCGTCACCGCTGGTTGGCAAGAGCAACGAGAGCATGGTCGGCGGCGAGAGTGGTGAGGGTGGGACCGAGAAGGCGCGGTCGCGGCTCTCACTTGTCCGGGCCAAGATCAAGAGCCTGCGGACAGCGGTCAAGTCGTCCAAGACGCCGGGCCCGGCTGGCGGCAATTCAATGATCATGACGCCGGGCGGCGGGTCGAGTGGCGATGCGTCGACTTCTTTCTCGTCGTCGTTTGTGGCCAACGACGCGTCGTTTACCGCCGCGATGGATGAGTCGCTGCGGGCGGCGCGACTGGTTGACGAGGTGATGGCGTCACGACAGGTGGCGAACACCTCGGGCGTGGCGTCGACATCGTTTTCGCTATTTGCAGCGCCGGCGGCACCGGCGGATCCGGTCAAGGCTGCTGCCGACGCCGAGGCCGAGGCGAAAGCTGCCGAGCGTCGCGAGCGCAAGAAGCGCGTGGCCGCGCGCATGGCAGCGCTGCAGATGGAAGACGAAGAGAGCCGGCTTGCCGAGGCTGCGGCGCGGGCGCGTAAGAAGGCGCGGGCCGAAGCCAAGGCGCGGGCGGACGCGCGGGCGCGGGCCGAGGCCAAGGCCCGTAAGAAGAAGCTGATCCAACAGGAGCTTCGCAAGCGGGAGGAGGCGGCCAAGGCGCTGCAGGCCGAACTCGACGCCAAGGAGGCCGAGGCCCGCCGCGAGCGCGAGCGGCTCGAGGCTGAGAAGACTCGCGAGCGCGAGGCGTTCCAAAAGGAGCTTGACCGGCTCAAAGCCCAGCTGGCGGCCAAGGATGAAGAGGTCGAGCGGCTGTCGGGCGGCGGCAATTCGACAACGGCTTCGTCAGCAGCACCGGCGGCTGCGCCGGCCAAGGCTGTGGCCAAGGCCCCAGCCGAATTCACCTCGGTCGACATCTCGGGCCTTCGCGCGCCTTCTGACAACGACGACTCGGACGATGAGGGTCCCGAGCTTGGACCGATCCCGACGTGGGCGCAGTCGGACAATCTGGCGGCGGCGCTGGAGCGGCAGACCGGGCTCGATCCGGACTCGATCTTCACCGAGCACGTCATCGGATGCGACCTCGAGCTGGTGTTCAAGGGCTACCAGCCGCGGCGGCGGTTCACCAAGCGCACCTCGTCGGCCGATTGGTCCAAGGACCGCCTCACGTGGAAGGAAGAGGCCGCGTATCGCAAGATCATGGGATACCAGCCGTAGCGCAGTGCTGGCGAGCCCATAAACTGTATCATAGTGGTGACGCGGGAGTGAAGGCCGAAGCGGCGCACGCCTCTCTCCGATTGAGCCGAAGAGAAGCGTGCTGGCGCGAGCGAGAGCCATGGACGCGCTGTTTGCCTCGTACAACAGGTCGTCATCGTCATCATCGTCGTCATCGTCGTCATCGTCTCCGTCGCCGCCCCCGCCTCCACCGTCAACTGCGGAAGATCGCTCGCCATCGTCTGCCGCCGGCCATTCAACGTCTCCACGTGTGGCTGGTGGGCACATGGCCGGCCCGAGTGGGGCGAGTGGTAGCAGAGGCGGCGGCGAGACGGCGGGATCGACGACGGGATGGGCGCTGCCTCCTCTGCCAGCGCAGTTTGCGACGAGCCGGAAGCGTGGGAGCGAGCGCGACGGGCGCGGGCGACAGTTTGGCCATGTCGACGGAGCGTGGGCCACACATGTGAGCATACGGTTGCGGCTGCGGAGCGAGGACGCAGCCCGTGTGGCGGGCGTGGCCCACGAGCTCAATGCACGCTGTGACTCGTCCTGCGGGGGCGGTGGCGGGCGGTGGCGGGCGGTGGAGGCGATGCACGTCTCGCTCTCGCGGGTCTTCCCCATCCGGCGGCTGGACAAGGAGCCGCTGACGCGGGTGGTGGAGAAGATGGTGGCCAGGGCAGGAGTCGGGCCGTTTGACGTTGTTCTTGTCCTCGACGAACTCGGCTTTGTGGCCAATGACGACGGCTCACGGCTGTTTGCGGTGGTGGGCCTGGAGAGCGAGTGTGCGGCGATGGTGGGCGCACTCATTGACGCCGTCGACCGCGCCATGACTGCGTACGGTCTGCGGCGGTACTACAGCGAGCGGCTGATTCACAGCTCAGTTGCTGTGTGTGATGTGGACGACAGGGCTGACGACGGTGGGATCGACCGGAGCAAGCCGTGGCTCCTCGGCGGGTCGACGATCTCGGCCCGGGTCACCGACATTGAGCTGCGGATGGGCAACGAGGTGCGGTGCATACGGCTGCCGAGCGCCAGAGAGTGAGAGAGGAGCGATGGAGCAGCGGTTGCAGCGGGGGCTTTACTCTGCGAGGATGGATGCGTACGCCGGCGACGACGATAAATGGCGGCGGCGATCATGGCCTGGAACGCGACGACTTGTAGGTGCGCGCGGTGCTCTTGCCGCCTGCCTTGCGCAGGTCGTGGAAGAGTTCCCACTCGGTCGACGACGACGAGTAGGAGAGCGGCTCCGGCGAGTAGGAGCACTCGTCGTGGACCGGCTTGCGCTTGGCCGCCGACCGGATCTGCGGCTTGGCGGTTGCGGGTGCCGGGCGGCAGCAGTCCCACACGACGCACTCGGCCGGGCATCGCCTTGCCCAGCACGCGCACTTGCCGTCCTTGGGTGGATACGGGTCAGGCTGGCCCGCACGAAGTGCGCGGATCCGCCGCTGCCGCTTGATAGCCTCCTTGTGTGTCACTCGCTCCTCCCGCGAGATGCAGCACTTGCGGCATATGGGGTACTCGAGCTGTGGTTGCGACGCAGTCGTGTTGGCACCAGGCAGTAGGCCATCGATCCCATGCGGTCGGCAGGCGAGAGGCAAGGCCCGAGCCAGTCGGCAAGCCAGCACCCAACAAATTTTTCCCAGTCAGTCACCCCCCACCCCCCACGCACCCCCCCTTCTTCCCCTCTTCCCCCTCCCTCCCGCCACAGGCCGGCAGAGCGGACGGTGTGGGCAGGCAGACTGCTGCCAAACAGCCCCACCATAGCACCCATGCTGCACCCTCCCCCCGTTTCCCCCCATGGGTACCCCCCCCCCTCGTGCAGCATTGGCATGGGTGTGGGCATGGGCGTGGGCGTGTGCGGGCGTACCAGGGTGAGCGACGACTCGGACTCGGGCGGGGTGGACAGGTCGTCCGAGAGCGAGACGGAAACAATGGAGAAGGACGACATGGGTGTGTGTATGCGGTAGTGGTGGCGGTGGTGGGTGGTGGTGGTGGTGGGTGGGTGGTGGTGGTGGGTGGTGGTGGTGGGTACCTCCCTCCCGAGGTGTTGGTTTCGGGCGGGGTGGTGGGGTGTTGTGCGGTAGTGGTGGCGACTGGTCTGCCAGCTGGCCAATGATTCGGACGGCGAGTGCGGGTGTTGGGGCGGAGAGGGAACTGCAAACGAGTCGATGGCAGGTTTTTCGGCCTCTTTGTCACATCTTGTTGAATACTCTCTACACTGCACCCCACTCGATCCTTGCAATGGCTAGTCTACTCCATATCATTGGGTGTGGGAGGAGGAGGCGGGGCCGTCATGATGCAGCACTTGCTGGACTCGTGCGGGAGATGCTCTCAGAAGAGGACTTGCGGACGAGTGGGGAAGAGGGCGCAATGACGTTGCAAGTGACGGCGGGCGGCGACTTGCTGTGAAAGGCGGCGCCTGCCGAGTTGGGCGAGGCCACCAGGGGAGACGAGGGTACGATGGCGAGGTTGGAGGAGTGCTTGACAAGGAGCGGTGGCGCGGCTGAGGCCGGCGACGGCGGGTCGTCGACGGGGGTGCGGAGGACGAGAAGGACGGCAGTGGCGTTGTCGGGCGAGCTGCGGGCGTGGACAGCCTCGTCGAGGAGGGCGTCGATGACGGCGCCGGGCGAGGCGCCGGCGAGGAGCCGTGAGCGGACAAAGTCAACGGCGTCCTGGTGAGGGAAGACGTCCCACACGCCGTCCGAGGCGAGAAGGACAAACTCGTACGAGTCCAGAACGTCGTAGGTTGCAAACTCGGGATTGGGGATGACGATGTCCTGGTACTGTGGGTCGCCGATTGAGCGCGAGACGGCGAGAGAGCCGTTGACGCGCCACGTCCCGAACCAAACGACTGAGCCGCCAGAGTTGATGATGCGCTCTTCCTCGTCGGGCCGCTTGGGCGAATGCATGGACGAGAGGAGGTGGGCGGTGCCGGCGTCCGAGACGACCGCATGCGAGTCGCCGACGTTGGCTACAAAGAGCTTTTTGCCGCGGAGGAGGACAATGAGCGCGGTTGAGCCGTCGTTGAGCGACTCGCGGGTGGCCTTGGCGTTAAAGGTGGCGTCGACGTCGAGGCAGGCGAGTGTGACCACGGCGCCGAGCTCGCTGTTGTCGAGCTCGGCGCCGGCAAGGCTGCTGCGCGAGGCGAGCGCGTTGCCGATGGGGAGGAAGAGCTGCGAGACGGCGTACTCGGAGGCGTATGCGCCGTTGTGGCCGTCAAAGATCGAGGCCAGGAAGGTAGGCTCGGCGTGGGCAGTCTCCGGCACGCTCTCGCCCAGGCACAGCGCCTCCAGGAATGGCGTGCAGAGGAAAGTGTCCTCCAGATGCGAGCGCGAGCCCTGCGTCCGCGCGCCGGCGACCTGCACGGGCATGGCCGAGCCGTCGGGCTCGGGCTCCCATTCGTCAACGGCGTTGACAAGCACCTCGCGCAGTTCGTCACCAGCAAAGACAAGCTTGGCGGCTGCAGGCGAGCGCAGGGCGTCGGGTCCGTAGACCGGGCGGAGCGGGCCGGCGCCAGTTGCGGTGCTGGACTCGCCATCCGAGTCATACTCGGACGAGTAGTCCGAGTAGTCTGAGTAGCCCGAGTAGCCCGAGCCGTACGTCGGACTCGACGACGAGGTTGAGGTGGCGTCGCCGGCCGGCAGCGGGCAGACACCACCCTTGCTGTAGCTGTCTGAGCTGCCGGAGTCCTCCTCGCGAGACGGCGAAGTGATGGTTGACGACGAAGAGCCCGAGTCACACGAGTCGGAGAGCTGGGCCGACTCCTCGCTCAAGGCCTGGTCCTCGGCACGGGCGCGCGAGGCTGCGGAGCGCGCGTGCTTTGTTTCGAGCTCGGCCGACGACTTGAACTGCCGGGTGGGGGTGGGCCGTTCCGGCGAGTAGTCGTCCGAGTCGGCCGAGAGCGACTGCGACGACTGGACCCGGAGCGGGGCACGTCGGCGGTCGCTGGTCCCGGGCTCCCGGCGGTGGCGGCGGCGGCGCGGGCCCGGCGAGCCGACCGAGTCCGGCGACGCCGCCAAGTCGTGTGCTGACGGGTCGAGGCTGTGTGCGGTGGCCGAATCGTGGCTCGCGCCCGAGGTAGCAGCCAATGCCTTGGCCTCGACAGCCGCGATGCGGCGGGCGCGGCGAGCGGCGCGGTGGGCGGCGCGGGCCTCGACCTCGCGCACAGTCTCGCTCACAAACGCGGCAACGGCGTCTGAGACCAGAGTGTGGAGCGTAACAAGCTCCTGGCGGGTCAGCACCCGCGAGGCGTCTTCCTCGGCCATGATGCGGTCGCGTGCGAGCTCAAGCGCCATGTACAGCGAGACGCCCATGAGCTCCGACACATCCCACGCGTTCTGGTACTGCTTCTTGATCTTGTTCTGCCGCATGAGGCGGCGATACTGACCCAGGGCCCGCGTCTTCAGCGACGCGTTCATCGGGCCTGTGGTGAAAGGCGACAAAAAGTGCCATGATTGGTTGAACAAGGAGCGAAGAGAGGCAGGACGGCGGTGACGCGGCAGGAGTGGCGGGCGGAGGAGGGTGACGCGGAGGAGGAGAGAGCAGGACAAGCAAGCACAAGCACAGTTGAGGGTTGGACGGTGAGTATGAGGTGATGGGGGAGGGCAATGTGGGGGTGGTGGAGGTGGGGGCAGAGGTGGGAAGGCCGAAGCTTTCCGAGCGAGTTGAACCCACGCGTATTCGGCGAGCGACAGGCAAAGGGCGGAGACGGGGAAGGGGGGGGTATGGGCAAGGGAACCACAAGAAAAAACGTACCAGTCTCTTTGAGAGAGTGTGGGAGCGAGAGTGAGCGCATGTTCTGCAGCTGTTCCACGCCAAGGCTTGCCATGGGGGCTTGGGAAGGGTGGCCATTCCCGTGGCCGTGATCACCACCGTCTGCAACACCACCACCACGACGTGCGGCCTTTTGCCGCTGCTGCTCCAACAGCGCAGTCATGGACGCGCCCTTGGTCACCGGCCTGTGCGGGGTCTCGCTCATGCTTGCCGGCCCGTGCCACGCTGGTCTCCTTCTCCCTGACGCCTTGCCCACACGTGCAGTGTTGCACCCTTGCCAACCTTTGCTCGCTCGCCTGCTCGCGGCCTCCCGCCGGCTGTGTTCAGCAGCCGCGCGATCACGGCTGTGATCACGGCCGTGATCGCGAGGTGCCTGCCTTGATGCCACCTTGCCCGCGGCTCGCTTTCGCCGCCCACGCAGCACACGGATACGCGGCACAGCAGAGACATAGCCGACGGCATGATGTTGCTCCTCTGGCCCTTTCTCAGAAATCCATTCATCGGTGCGCCCTCGCATGGCTCGCATCACTCGAGGTCAGCCAGAGTCAGATGTCGCACGTATTCCGCCACCTGCTCCGCGTGGGTTGCCCACTTCCGGTTCCGGAACGGCGGCACAAGCAGTGATGGCCATCATTCTGCCTCGAAAAGAATAGGCCGCGCATCATGCGCCTGTATCATGACACGGGGGGGGAGGAAGCAGGGACTACTGCAATTGCTATGAGCTGAGACCTCGTCAGCGGCGAGGGAGGCGTAGCCGTTGCTCCGAATGTTGATGTGAGCTGATGCATGTTGATGCAGGAGTGATGATGCGATGATGCGACGATGCGTGTTGGTGCCATGTACAGCATGAGCTGGCTATTGATGCGGCATTTGAGTGGTGTTGGATTCGAGGGGAAGCTGATGCGGGTCAAGGTGTGGTAGCGGGTTAGCGGCTGGTTCATTGTGGCCAAGTGATGGCGGTGAAGGGGGCATCGGGTGTCTGGCGAGCCAGACGGCGACCACTCAACGTCCGACAGGCCTACGATGAGCAGCCCCGAGCGGTTCATGGCGACAGCGCTCAAGTACGGGTGGATGACCCCTCTAGGAGGGATGAGCAAGGCGGCAAGTGTCAAGGAGAATGCTGACGTGCTGGTGGTCTCCACACCAGCCCGGCCCGAGCGCTATACGCTCACGCCAAGGGTGACAGTACGTGTTGAGCCATTTGGCGCCAGAGTTGGCGGCCACTCGGTTTCTCCCGGCGTTTGACTAATTTTTTTCTTCTCTCTCTCTCCCCCCCCAACGCCACCACTCGACGTGTGTCTGGCCGTATACTCATGTGTGGTGACTTGATGTGGATGGGTGGTAGCGGTATGCGCTTGCCGACTTTGATCTCAACAAGCTCGAGGCTTTGCCCAAGACGGAGCGGAGGCTCTCATTTGACGATGGTGCCGAGGGCGGGAGAGTAGGCGGCGACCGGTGTGACGGTGAGTGTATGGCCGGCGTGTCTGATGGCGGGCTTGACGCCAGTGATGCGCTCGATGGCGGGCTTGACGTGAGCGTCACGCTTGATGGCGGGCTTGACGCCAGTGATGCGCTCGATGGCGGGCTTGACGTGAGCGTCACGCTTGATGGCGGGTTTGATGGCGGGTTTGATGGCGGAGTTGATGACGCACTCGACGTCAGTGCAGACACCAGTGTCACACCTGATGGCCCAGTCGACGCCAGCGTCACGCCTTGTAACGCACTCGACGTTAGCTCTGACGCCAGTATCGACGCCAGTATCGACGCCAGTATCGACGCCAGTATCGACGCCAGTATCGACGCCAGTATCGACGCCAGCATCACGTCCGACAGCACACTCGCCGAATCGGCCGAGGCCAACATTCCAACCGTCGTTCGGCCCGATTCGCCACCCTCTCCACCCGCGGTCGATGCATACGCCTTTGATAACGACGACAGCATCGACCTAGTCCCCACCCGCCGACCCTGCCGCCCCAAGCGCCGCATCATCGACTCGGACTCGGACTCGGACTCGGACTCGGACTCGGACTCGAACTCGGACTCAGAGCCTGCGGCAGAGTCTGCGCGCCGATCTTGACTCGTCGCTCGACGGATTTGTGGTCAACACCTCGGACATGAGCGAGTACTCGCAGCTTTGTGGTCAACACCTCGGACATGAGCGAGTACTCGCAGCTGCTCGGGTCGGACGACGAGAGCCGGCACTCGACCGCGGCGGCTACTCGTACCAGTCGTCGCCATCGGCCTCGCCGGCGCCGCGGTTGCCGTCACTCTCGCCATCGCCGGTCAAGTGCGCGCCGGTCAAGCGCGCGCCGGCCAAGCCGATGTCAATGGCGGCGTTCAAGCGGCAGCGCGAAGAGCTTTCTCGTACTTTTTACGCCGAGTTCAACGCCAAGGCGTTTGACTCGCTGCTGCCAGCAGACATGGAGCTGATCTGGGCGCCGCGGCTGACCAAGACCGCCGGGCGGACGATCATGCGGCGGCGCGGGACCGAGTACTCGGCTCACATCGAGCTCTCGTGCAAGGTTCTTGATCGCGTCGAGCGGCTGCGCAACACGCTCTGCCACGAGATGTGCCACGCTGCAGCCTGGCTCGTCAACCACGTGTCCAAGCCGCCGCACGGCAAGGTGTTCAAGGCTTGGGCCCGCGCCGCCGAGGCCGCCTTTCACGACCTGCACATCACGACTTGCCACTCGTACGCCATCACGTACAAGTTCAAGTACGAGTGCACCGGCTGCGGCTTTATCTACGGCCGCCACTCCAAGTCGATCAACGTCGCCAGCCAGCGCTGTGGCAAGTGTTCGGGCGTTCTCGCCCTGCAAAAGTCCGCCCGCGCCGCCAACCCGTTTGCTGACTTTGTCAAGGCCAACTACGCACAGGTCAAGCAATCCAATCCTGACGCTTCACACGGCGAGCTCATGTCGCTCCTCTCGGCAAAGTACAAGGCCGCCAAGGAGGCGTCCCGCTCCTAGCCGCATCGCTTGAGCTCATAAACTTCCCGTCTATCACAACTGTGCCGACTTGGCGTCCTTCTCCAGTTTGCGGATGGTGAGCGCCTGGTGCGCGACGAGCGCCTCAAGCTCAGTCACCCGGATCCGGGCCTTGGCGAGGTCGGCGGCGAGATCGGTGGCGGGAGGCGCCGTGTCTGCTGCGCCGCCGCCACGGCTCCCGACCCCGAGCGAGGTCTCCAGAAGGGTGATTCGAGCAGCCTGGTCGTCGATGTGCTGCTTGAGCGAGGTCACCTGGCCTTCGCGCGACTCGGCAATGATGATGGCCTCCAACTCGCGGATGCGGTCGCGATACGTCGAGTTCTCCACCTCGAGCTGCGCGATGCGGCCCTTTTTCCGCACACGCAGACGATGCGCTGCGATCCGGTTCTGGATCTTCCGCCGACGCGCCCGCTGTGCCTCTGTCAAGTCCTTGATGTTGTGGACCGAGTCTTCCAGCTCCTTCAGCTCCTCCATAGCCCGCCGCAGCGACGCCCCGTCGGAACCTCCCTTGGCGGTCTCATTGGCGCCGCCGCCGCTCTCGGCCCCATCGTCATGCCGCTGCTCATCGTCGCCATCGCCACTAGCCCCGCGCCCCACCGGCCCATACGGCTCGCACTCGACCTCGCGCTTAACCCGCCCACGTCCGTTTCCGCCGCGCCGCTCCGCGCGCCGGCTCGACTCGGAGCTAGAGGCAGCCGCCGGGAACGCCGCCGGGGCTGTCGACGCGATGGATGCCGATGACGCCGATGTCGTCGATGAAGCCGCGGGAACAACCACCCTTGCTGTTGTAGCCCGTTGTTGTTGTTGCTGCTGCTGCTGCTGCTGTTGCTGCCGCCTGCCCTTCCCACCCTCTCCGCTCTTCACGCTCTTCCTGGCCTTGCCGCTCTTCCCAGCCTTCCTGTGGACCATGTGCGATGACGGCAGGTCCCTGTCTTCGCCGCCGAGCGAGACTGCGGCCCTGGCGAGCGAATCGAGCTTCATACCCTCACACACAACCACTTGCGTATGTCTCTGAGTCGGGTCTACCCACGCTCTCTCCCGTTAGTTGGTCTGCTCACTCGCGGTGACGTGCCTTGTCGGGCATGCTGACGTGAACTCGACGTCATTGTGTCCCTCGGTCAGCCACCCAGCATGATCGGGCCGGACCATAATTGAGTACACTCGTGATCGTGCGGAAAAGTCTGCAAGAGGGAGAAATAGAAATGGTAAGGTGTGTGTGTGTGTTTGCGTCTGTATTTGTGTGTGTGTGTGCGACGGCTATGAGGTAGCGTGTGGGCGGGATGGCGATCCCGGAAGATGGCCATGAGCGACACGAGCAGGAGACAGTAGTGACGCGCGGAATTAGTCCACCAGGGAGCTCTAGCGAGAGATGTTGGCGCTGAAACAATAGCGGTACATGCCTGCGGGAGACGGATACGACGCAAGTCTGCGAGCGGCAGCTGGTAGCGGATGGACGGGGCGGGTAAGCCGGTGTGTGGGGTACGCAGGTGCGCGTACAGCGTGGCGTACCCCTACTCACACGTGCAAAAATATTTACCGAGGTACACGTAGAGATACACGACAGGGCCACCCCTCGCCTTGCCGCTCACCGCGCACTCCAACAAGCACCCGGCCCCTTGCCCCCCCCACACAGCACACGAAAAGCAACCACATAGCCACCCATTTCGGAGGAGAGCATCAAGAGTCAGTGCAGCCTAGATCGGAGCACCTTTGCGGCAAAGGACTGAGCAAAGCGTCCCAAAGCAGCCGGCGGTGAGCGAGGCGACCCGGTCGGGGAGTCGGAGACATACACCACACTCATTGACCTCCCAAGAGCAGCGTCATGGCAACAGCAAGCGAACGAGTGGAGCTAGTCAAGACGGTCGACGCCCTCGAGGCTGCCGAGGACCCAGTCGAACGGTGCTTCGACTCCAAGTATGCCGCCCGGAGCCATCTTGAGGCCGCACTCGCTGCGAGTGGGGACAGTGCTGCGGACAGAGTCGGCGATGGTGGTCATGATGGTGGTGGCGAGGCTGTGTCCGATGCAAAGGGCAGGGGCGCCATCGAGTGGGAGGCTTATCTCGGGTATCGGCTGGGGCTCAACTATCTGGCGACCGAAGAGCGGAGCGAGGGCGAGCAGAAGCTGCTGCAGGCGCTGGAGAACGGTCTCACCGACATCTCGCCGTTGGCTGCGCTTGATGCTCACAACTCGTTGGCGGTGCTGTATGCCAATCGCAGTGAGGTCGAGGCTTCGGAGGAGCATCTGACAGCAGCCATCGAGCTGTACCAGCAAATGGCGCGGCCGCCGCCGTCGGTCATTCCCGGTGTGACCGACGACGACGACGGCTCCGCCGCGAGCCGCTTCCTCGAGCACCTGCACACCACCTCCCTGTTTGTACTGGCACAGGTGGCGGCGGCTGCCGGGCGAGTTGACGAGTCGGCCCAGTGCTGCCGGGTCACGCTCGAGAGGCAGATCGCGGCCGTCGGCGACGGCGGCTTGCCGGGCGAGCCGTGGGCGTGGGTGGCCAACGCGACCAAGCTCGCGGGCTACTACGCGACTCGCGGCGGGTTTGCCACCGCGCGGGCGCTCCTCGACTCTGCCGACATCATGTGCAAGCGGACCGAGGCCGCTGGACCCGGGACCGAGGCCGGCATTGAGGCCCGCGGCGACATCTACATCGCGGCCGCCTCGCTGGTAGGCGATCTGCTCGCGGCGTGGGCGAGTTCCACCGACGGTGAGTACCAGACCGTTGACCTCTTCCCGCAGCTGGCAGCCAGCGGTGAGGACGCAAGCGTGCTGAGCGGGCTTGACCTCACACCGGTTGCTGGATTCAAGGCTGCGCAGCCGGCATTCCTCATCGGCCTTCGGGCGGTCGAGGCTGCGCTGAGCACCTTTGTACTCGACGGGTACGTGAGCAAGCACGTGGAGGCGCTCATTCACAAGGGCCGGTTGTACGAGGTCCTCGCCCGGTTGCAGACGACGACTCGATCCGGACAAAGCTCCTCAAGCGCAAGGTCAACGCGCTCGATCCGGTCATGAAAGAGCTCAACTATGCCCACTTTTACGCTGCCTGGCTCCAGCTCTCGTACGAGGTGGCGTCGGCGCTGGTCGGCATCTACGATGCCAAGGCGGCTGCGGTGCGCGACGGGCGAGCGGTGCACACCACGCAGCGGCTCAACGAGGTGGCGGTCAAGGCAATTGCTTCGCTCACGCTTTACATTGCGGTGGCACATGGAGCAACACCCGGATCGGCCGAGAGCCGCGAGCCAGGCGCGCTCGACGCGGCAAGCCTCAAGGTCGACAACGAGGCGCTCGGCAACTACGTGACGGCGCGGCACATGCGCGGGCGGCTGTACACGGCGCTGCGGGCGGCGTCAGATGCGGCAACGGTCGAGAACCTCGACGCCGCCGAGGCCGACTACCGCGCCATCAAGGACGTGCTCGAGCTCCGCGGCGACGAGGTCGACAGCGAGGTGGTCGACCCTCAGCTGCTGGGCATGACCGAGGAGATGCTTGAGCTCATCCCGCAGCTCAAGGCCGCGGCGGCGGACGGGCAGTTGCAGCCGCGGTAGCATCACTCTGTGGGAAAAGTGTAGTTGATGGCGCGTTCGGTGGCCGAGACGGCAATCTTGCGCATCCACTTGCGGAGCTTTGAGTTGGACGAGTCAGACCCGGCTTCGTCGGCGCGGAGCCGTTCCTCGCCGAGTCGCTGGAACTTGAACTGGAGCTCGGGGTATGCAGACATGACGTCATCGCAGACCTCGCGTGTGAGGACAAGAATGGTGGCGGCCGAGTGGGCGCGAATGGAGGCCGAGCGCGGCTGGTCGAGGAACATGGCGATTTCGCCAAAGAACGCGCCCTGGTTGCAGAGGAACGAGCGGCCGTCGGGGAGCTCAACCTCGACGACACCGTCGACGAGGAAGAACATGGAGCGGCCGGTCTCGCCGACGCGGACAATGTGCTCGCCCTTGGCCACGGTGCGGCGCTCCATGTGACGGAGCAGGTCATCGATGAGCTGAGCGTCGTCGCCGGCGTCAAACTCGGGCCGCTGGTTCCCGCGCTGCGGGGTGTACTTGATGCGGCGCCGGCGCGAGCCGACCGATTTGGCGGTCGCCGACCGCGGCTCGAGCGCGAGTGACCGCTTGTACTGCTGGTTCTCGTCGAGCCGCGGCAAGTTGTCGCGGAGGAGGTATGCCTGGATGGGCGGCACCTGGTAGAGCGCGTACGGGACCGAGGCGCAACGGAGGATGGTGTCGATGACCGAGGTTGTCATGCGGTGCTTCTCGACGTTGATGAGCGGCGACGACCGGAGGAGCGTGTCGGGATTGCCGTCGTCAATGAACACGAGGTCGGCGAGGAAGACACCCATGTACGGCACCGCCGGCGGCTCGGTCGCCTTGAGCTTGTCGCGGTAGTTGAGGTAGTTGTGGTTCATCGACATGACCTCCTTGAGCACCTTGAACTGCATGAGGTAGTCCTCCGGCACAAGCTCAAAGGTAAACTTGAGCCGTGAGATGGCCGCAGACTCGAGCGCTGAAATGATGGCCATGAGCGAGGAAAAATTCGCCAGCGCGAGGCAGTTGGTCGCCACGTCGACGAGGAGGCAGATCTTGACCGCCCGTTCCTGCGGCGTCGGCGAGAGCAGTATCTCCGTCGCCGCCCACTCGGACACAAGATTGAATCGCTCGATGAGAGCAAGGACGTTGGGCGAGTTGCTCGCCGCGCTGGCCTTGGACCAGCCCTGTGCAAGGAGCTCACGCGGCTGGAGCCGTGCGAGGGGCGCCCAGTCAAGGAGGCATAGCTGGCGGGCGAGCTCGAGTGCATGGACCCGCTCGACGTCGAGTACCGAGATCGGCTTGCTCGTTAGGAGAATCGAGTCGGGAAAGTTGGTGAGCCGCGCAACTGACGCCGAGTGCTCGAGTTGGCGGTCGCCAGCGACAGAGGCGGGCGTTTGGGCACTTTGGTGAGCTTGGCAGCGAGGTCCGAGGCGATGGCAGCGACCTCGGGCGCGACCTCGCTCGATGGAGAAATGCCACCCAACCAGTCGCAGATGACGGGGCCAGTTCGCGTGGTGAGGAGGTGGCTCGACGAAAAGTGGACCCAGGCATCGATAAAGTGGAGGACGGCAGTCTGAAGGGCGTCGCGGGTGTGGGCCTTGAACGAGGCGAGGGCGGCGGCGGTCAGGTTCTTTGGCTGAGATGTAAAGCGGAGGACGAGGAGGTCAAAGAGCTTGTCGGGCGCCACAAAGAGAGTGTGGGTGGTGAGGAAGACATGCAGGAGCTCGGTGTGAGTGGCAAATGGCTGGGTGAGCTTGCGGATGAGGAGCTCGAGCTCGAGGCCGTTGAAGGTGACCGAGCAGTTGGAGTGGTCGTACGGGTCGTGCCAGTACGGCAGCGCTGCCGGGAGCGTGATCATGCCGCGTGCACGTTGCACAACGCGCTCGACGACGGCGCGGAAGGTTTGTAGCGTTCGCCAGCGACGGAAGAAGCGCTGCAAAACATCGCAGCACGCGAGCGGACATGGGCCTGGAACTCACGCTGAATGATGATGGAGGCGTTCGAGTCGGAGCGGCCAAGGAGCCGCGCCCGCGACGCCGAGCGGAGATTTGCAATGGTCGACGACGCCAGCGACGTGGCAGTTGCCTGGAGCTTGAGCGCGTGCGCGCCGCCGAGCGCCCGGCGCAGGATCGAGTCCTTGGGTGACGGCGAGCCACGCGCAAACATGCCCGAGCCCTGTCGCGACACCGAGGCCATCGAGTCTTCGCGGCTAAAGGCGAGCGAGGCGCTCGAGCCATTGAAGCCGGATGCGTCCGGAAGTGAGTTCTCGCGGCGAATGCCGTGGAAGGTCCGGTTGAGCGGCGAGGGACGCGGCGGCGCGAGATCAGACGACGAGACCAAGACAGAGAGCTGCGGGATGTCCGAGGTGGCGCTTCCGTCATCTGAGTGAAAGGTGGGCAAAAAGTGGGCGGTGGGCGGCGCAGCGAGAGCTGTGGCGGCAGCGGCGGCCTCGAGGCGCTCGGCGAGCGCGTCGGCGGACCAAAGCGCCGATTCCGGGACGGCGTCAACGGTGACCGAGGCGGCGGCTGTGGCGTCAAGCAGTGCACGGGTCTTGGCAGGGAGGGTGGGAGAAAGGAGCTTGAGACGAAGGAGGGTCGGCGAGAGCGGCTTCAGCTTGGAGATGAGCGACGAGGCTTCGGCGACGGCGATCTTGTCGGCAAAGGCGAGGAGGCCGAGCGAGTCAGAGAAGATGGAGCGGAGGGCAAGGTTCATGCCGCGCGACGCTTCGACGCGAAAGTCACGCCACGAGTTGGCAGTGGCGTGAAACTGGCGGACTTGCTTGAGCGCAAAGTCTCGGCCGGATATAAGGAACGAGGCGTTGCCTTGCTCGCGGGTGATGGCCGCCGCCTCATCGACGAGCGCCTTGCGCTCGAGCACCTCGTCGAGGTGGGCAGTGTCGTTTGTGATGTACGACTCATTCCACGAGGCAAAGACCGAGACCGAGGCCGCGTGAGTCTCTGCCAGCGGCGCCAAAAAGTGCTCCTCGAGGGCGCGCAGCCGCTTGTTGGTCTTCACATCGAGATGCATGTACTTGTCGACAGCGGTGGCGAGGCCAGCACCAAGGTCACCGAGCACGGCCGAGAGAGGGCCGGTTGCTTCCTGGGCCAGCTCCTCGAGCGAGGCCAGCCAGGCAGCGCGGGCGCGGCGGGCAGCTTCTGCGGCCTCGAGCATGGCCTCGCCGAACGAGACACTTTTCGAGAGTAGGCCGTTGACCGAGGACCAGCCGGCAAGGATGGTGATGTTGGTCTCGCCGAGTTCAGAAACCTTAGCCCCGGCTTTGGCGGCGCGCATACGTGCGCGGAACTCTTCGATCTCCTGCGTCCGCGACGCCCACTCCGAGTCGGAGAGCGGCGGGAGGCCGACCGCAAGGCCGGACGAGTTGGACGAGTAGAGAAAGTCTGGATCGGAGATGTCGGCGTCGAGCGAGACTGATGACGGAGTGTCGTCAGACGCCCCGCCCTGATCCGGCGGCTTGGGGACCTTGGACTTGGCCTTGGCCTTGGACTTGGACTTGGCCTTGGCCTTGGCCTTGGCCTTGGAGAATCGCGTCTTCTTCAGCTTGTACTTGTCGAGCGAGCGCGAGTTGCAGCGAGTTGATGCAGCCGACGACGACCACGTCGAGTTGGAGTCGGAAGCTGGGGTAGAGTCCGAGTCGTGGCGCGAGCATGCCGAGTCTGAGTTTGACGTCGATGACGACGATGACGACGATGACGACGAGGAGGAGGCGGAGGCATGGCGTGAGCGCGACTTGCGCACTGATCTTGAAGACGATCTCGCAGCGGTAGCCGCCGCCGCCAATGAAGCAGCACCCGCAGCAAATGAGCGCTTCCGGGCCGGGGTGGCCGGAACAAGTATGGAACGACGGCGGCGGGCAGAGCGGTGGGGCGAGGGCGAGGGAGAGCTGGCGGGTGCGGGTGTGGCACCAGGCGAGGGTGAGCCAGGCCGACCAGAGCCGTGGGCAGGCCGACTGCCTCGAGTCTGTTTGGATCCCCTACGCTGCTTGAGTCGCTCCTCCCACCAGTCGGGCATGGGTGGTGGCTGTGACGGGTGGCGTGGCGTGGTGACGGTTGTAGCTGAATGCCACTCACGTGGCGGTTGTGCGGGAAACGTGTGGCTGGCGGTGTCACTCGGGCGGCATGGGCCGTTCAGAGTACGTCACCTCGCTGACAACGGCAAACTGGCTGATGAGCTAGTGCCAGCTTGTTTGATACTGCTGATAACGACAGAGAAGGAGATTTGATCAGGACTTGGGGTGGGACTTGGCACTGCCGGGCTCAATGCCATCGAGAGCGGCAAGGAGGCGCTTGGTGGGGGCAAACGAGGCCAAGACACCGTTGTGAGTGAGGTACGCGTCGGGCTCGCTGTAGTCAAAGCGGGCGCCGGACCATCCGATAAAGGTGCCGTCATTGAGGGTAAAGAGAGCATCGGGCGCGGCAATGTCCCAGAGCTTGATGGCGGTGCGGTGGAGGTAGATGTCGGCATGGCCGTCCCATACGGCGAGGGCCTTGAAGCCGGAACCGCCGGCGGCAATCTTGGAGGCGTGGAGCGCGTCGAGAGGTTCGGTGAGCTGGCCAGGGTGCGAGCGCGAGACGATGACCCGCGGCTGCGGCGAGAGGACCGACTCGGCATGGCCGCCGGGCGTGGCGGCACCGGAAAGAGCCCAGACGGTGCGCGAGGCGCGCGAGGCGGCCGAGGTGACATGCGGTTGGTCGGGCGCGGCCGAGTCGGCAAAGACCTGGTGGATGCAGGCGGCGACAGGGCGGCCGGCGTCAGCAACGGTGACCATGACGGTAACGTACTCGAGGAGGTCCTCGGTGAACTCTTTGGTCGCGTCGAGCGGATCAACCCAGACCGTGAGGCGGTCGAGCGGCGCAGCGTGGAGAAACCCCGGATCGTGGTCGTCGAATAGATGCAGGTCGAGCGGACGCGGCGTGGCAGCCGCAAGAAGGTCGGCGACGGCGGCTGCGGCGTCCGGATCGGGGTCGTCCTCCTCAGAGACGACGACGAGGGCCGGCCAGAGGTCGGCGAGGGTCGAAGTGATGATAGTGTGTGAAGCGAGGTCGGCGAGAGTGAGTGGATCGACGACGCCCTCATCAGTGGTGCCCTTGGTGACGGTGGCAAGAGCCTTGGAAGTGTGGACGGCAGCGATGACATCACCGGCCGACTCGGCGGCGTGAACAGCGGCGGCGAGAATAGTAGCGTAGGGGACACGAGCAGCAGACGACGGAACACCAGTCCAGAGCTTGCCCGGCGGGGCATGGCCTCGGCGGAGAGCGCGCCACTGGGCGTGGCAGTCGTGGATGAGCGCCATGGCCTCCGCGGAAGAAATCGGAGCGCCTAGCACGTTCTTCGGCTTGCCATCGGTTGTCTTGTAGTTGACCAGCCAGTCCGTGATGCCGGCCATGAGTCGTGGCTCGACGTCATTGATCGAGTGCCAGCGGCTCGCGGCCGGGTCGTCCACGGCAACGGCAATGACCTTCCAGTCGATCTCGTCCTGGTCGAGCATGGGCAAGGCGCCAAGGACCTTGATCGGCGTAACAGCACCGACCCGCAGGGGTGAGGCGCCGAGCTCGATGACGTCAAGCGGATCGCCGTCACCGCCGGCCCCCGACTCGACATCCATCACATTGGGATCTTCCCACGTCTGCGGTATGCCGCCGTAGTTGAAGAACGTTTCGCCGTAGGTGTACGACCGCAGCTCGCCGCCGTCGTTCCGATCTTGAACAATGGGATTGCCAGCAACCGTTGTCTGTGTCTCATACTTTGCGCGAGTGGCTCTGGGAATCTCATTGACAAAGTTGACCACGTGCGACGATGCGGTGGCTACCGAGGGGATGAGCCACACATCGTGCCATGCCGAGATTCTCTTGCCCGATGCTGCGTCTGTGACCCAGACTGCGTAATTGGCCGAGCCCGGAGTACCGACGTGCTCGACAGCGTAAGGAGAGTGTGATCGGAATGATGCCTGGTGACTGTGATGAGTACGGGGTGGTTGGTTGGCGGAGGGGGAGGGGGGGGCGGAGGAGGAGGGGTATGGGAGAGTGCGTAGCACATACCATGAACAGGAACATCACCATGACTGCACTTGCCACAGCTGCATACACCCGTGGTCGTCGTCTGACTTCCTTCATCAGCTTGTGGCGATACATGATGGGAGAGAGAGAGAGAGAGCAGTGTGCCGAGAGCTGTGCCGAGAGCTGAGCGTGTGCATAAGCAGGGCGACTCGGTTGTTGACTCGGTTGCTGACTCGGAAGGCATGGACGACAAGCTACAGGCGGATGATCTTGCGTAGGGTCGACCTTTGGACGTTGGATGGTGGGCGTAACTGGGGCTGTTGGCTTTGTTCTGGGTGACATCATGCCAGCTCCTGTCTCCATGGGTAGATGTTGGTCGTGATGGTGTGTGGCCATGATGGGCTGTGGTATGAGAGGCGGTTAGGAGAGACACCTCATCGGACTGCACCATAGCTATACCACTCGTGTGTTCTCTGTGATCGGCCCCATAGCGTGAGGCCGAGACGGTTGAGCCGGCAAGTTGGGTCGGATGAGCACTCGGCATGGTGAGGTGCTGGCGGACAAACGGCGAGGGCAGGGCGAGGAGAGACACCTAACTCGCGACGACCATGAGTGACTACGGCTACGGTGGACGCTACGGCTACGACGCTGGCGGATACGGCGGTGGGTATGGTGGCGGCTATGGCGGCCCTGCTCCGGGACCTCCCGCTCCGGGCTACGGCCCGCCGGGCTACCCGCCGCGTGGCTACGCCCCGAGCTATGGCTATGGTGCGCCGGCTGGCGGTTACGGTACGATTCGAGTGCGGCGGAGGGGGGGGGGGGGGGGGTGGGGACGGTGCGTGGGCATGGCTGGGTAGTTGGGGAGCATGAGGAAGATAGAAGCAGCTCTGGCGATATGTAGAGGCGGAGCATGTACTGTACTTACCTTGTGGGCTTGTGGGTGGCTGTCAATTGGCTTGGGTAGCGCCTCCTCAGCCGGGATACGGCCCGCCGCCGCCGCTCCCGCGCGAGGAGATCGGAGGTACGTCTGTCGGTTGAAAATTAGGATTTGGGAAGAAGAAGGGGGGAGGGGGGGGGAGGGGGGGAGAGACACTCGGGCGTGTCGACGGCAGTCATGGCAACCGGTGTAGCCGTCGTAGCCGTTGCAGCCGTCGTTACGGTCGCAACCGTTGCAGCTAATGGCATTCATGGATGACCGGTGGTTGCGCGGCGTGAGCTGCGATGCGGGGCGATGGTGTGGTGGGAGTTGATGGGGAGATGTGGACTGGGCGAGAGGAGGCGACTCATGTGTGTGTGGCGTGTGGCGTGTGTGTGTGTGTGATGGTGGACGAGGATAGAGGTGTCGCAGTCGATCATCAAGGAGGTGGTCAAGCTCAAGCTGCAGGTCGAGCGCCTGCAGCGGCGTCTGCATCAGTACGAAGACGAGGCTGCGCGCAAGACTCGCCGGTCGCACTCTTCCAAGTCCAAGCGTCGTCGCTGAGGACGAGTGAACGAGATGGGATGACTCGGATGTGGATGGGATTGGTGGGACCGTGGGCGTCGCCGATCGATAATGAAGACAACAGCGCTCTCCGGTCTCTGGTCTGCAAACCACAGCCTGCAACAACCGGCCCGGCCAGGAGGGGTCACAGCTATCGAGGTTGTCGGGCGGGGTAAGGTTGTTGGCATGGAGCGAGCCGATCATCCGCGGAGATGTCGTGTGTATGCCATGGATCGCAAGGCGATGGAGAGTCGAGTTGCGGGGATGGGTAGGTATGGGGTGTGGAGTGGTGTCTGTATGGTTCGTGAAAGAACAACCGGCGAGAGGTAAAAAAGGAGCGATGGGCGTTGGGCGGTAGGAGAGAGCGGAGCGAGGCACACTCAACTTTCTGTTCCATGAGCCGAGCCGCATTCATCAGCACTTCCAACCTCATTACCAACGTCTACGATGCCGCTAAGCGCACGGGACACGACCCGACAGGTGGATAAGCAGCCAGAGTACGAGTACCTTGAGAGCCAGAAGAGCTCCTTCCCCAATTCTAAGAACACTATGCCCTCGATGAGTAGCGGGGTGGTGGACACATTCCATTCTCCCGCCACTTCTGCCGAACTGTCACTCGCCATTCATTCGCCGGCCACGAGTCCGCTCCTTCCCGGAGCTATCATCACGGCCACCTCGCCCAAGCCATTAAGCATTCGGCCCACAATCCCCGAGCTCGACCTCTCCGATGTGCTCAAGGATATAGCTGCGCCTATGTCCATCCATATCGACTCGTGTCGTGAGCCGCCGGCTTGCCCGGATTGGGCTCGGAACGCTGCCAAACTGTTTGGAACACAGCCGCGAGCCGAGCCGGGCTCGGCTGTGCGCCTGCGCCCAGCATGCACCATGCCTCGCTGCCGGCTCTTTGGGCGACTTTTTGCCAACACCGTTGGCCCGCCGACGTCCAGTAAGCCGCTTGATGCTCTGGCAGTTCCTGCTGTCGTTGTAGTTGCGCCTGGCGAGCCGCACGAGCCTCGCATCGCTCTCGCGCCTACCGACGGCACACTCTCCGGCGACGCAACACACGCCGCCTCGACTGCCTCTGCCTCTGCGCTATCCTCGGACTCGATCTCGGACTCGGACTCGGAGTCGATCGAGTCGGACGGCGACGGCGACGGCGACGGCGACGGCGACGCGGTCTCGCGATGGCAGGGCCAGAATGACTTCCGCTGCCGAAAGATCGGCTACACCGTCGCCGGCATCCACGGCTCGTCGTGCGTCGCTGACTGGGTCGGCGACTGCATCGACACCGCCCAGCGCTCGCATGCGGGCGCAGTGAACACAATCCGAGCGTAGCGGCGGCCAGGGCAGGCCAGGCCATGTGAGTTGTCACACCGGCTGGTTGCGGAGCGCAAGGAGAAAGTAGACGGCGACAAACGAGGCGGCAATCAGCGCCACCACACACGATCGCTGGGTGAAGAACGCCCAGAACCGTGCCGTCCATCCCTCATGTACGCCATCGCGCCCTCCTCCGCCAAGGAAGCCGCTGCTTCGCAGCCCTCGGCCGCCACCTCCGCCTCGCCGCGGTCCGCGGGCTACCTCGGAGCCAGCGAGCACGTTCTGCAGCCGCACGTGTGCATTGTGCTCGACTGCAAGGTCTGCTGCTGCTCCGCCGTCGTCCATGCTCAACGTTGCTGCTGTGTAGCCTGTGTGTGGTGAAGTGGCGAGGGGAAGGTAGACGAGGAACGGGAGGTAGCTGTCGTCGAGTCGGGGAGGGGGGTGGGGCGGGTGACTGGCTGG